AGAGGGATAAACATGACAAGAAACTCGACGGGGCAGAGCGGAGGCCGGCATGAAGGCACGAGACCTACAAAAGCTAGTCTTCACGCAGACAGCGACAGACTAGTCCCAATGACCAAGTTATACATTAGCACTCGAAGAGAGATACAACACTATGGTCACTCACCTAGTCCCAATGACCAAGAGGTCGAGATGGGGACTAGAGAGCGCCTAAGGGGGTCCTTATATACTAGAGGGGCTGCTTAGCAACCAAGGACAAGGCGCGAGAGCGAGGCAGTGAAGATGACAAAGAGAGAACAAAGGGCGAGAAAGAAAAGGCAAGGGCATGGCGATCACGGGAACGTAGCATGCGGCTGTGGGAACGTATCTACAGTGTCCAAATTGGGATGGGCTAGAAAAGGAAATGGTCCGCGAATGGAAGGTGGGCGTCAAAGGGAGGGGAATGGGCGGCAAAAAGGGGCGTCTGTCCAACGTCCGTGACACCATGTGCTGTCGGAAGGTCTCTTCAAGCCTTTGCTGTGTGGCCTCCGAGTTGTATCCACGCGAGGCTTTGGCAGCTTCTCGGGCGGCTTCCAGGACGGCATATGAGCGGGCGTGTTCTTCTTCGTGGGACAGTAGTCAGAGAGTAATGATAGCCATGTAGAGTATATTAGAGCAAGCCAGACATGATAATCCAGGAGATCATTGTGTCCAGTACAGGAGGTTTCGCAAAGTGTAACTACAACAGCAGGCCGCCACATCGCACACTGGAGTCGCCCTCCAACTTGTTCGGACTGCCTCAAATGGGATCGATATGTGACCACAGGTCACCGAGCGGGGAGTCACGGGGGTAAAGCCACCAGACGTTCAGGAGCTCGGATGCCCCCGGTTTTTCGCATCCGATTCAAGCTCCGAACGTCTGGTCACGAGACTACCACTTGCACCGCGCCGATTCACATGGGAAGAAATCTCTAAACCCAACATCACATGCTCGCACATCCCGAAGTTGATCGAGGTAGTTCGGACGCAGAAGGCGCCGGCGAGATGTTGCAGAGGAAATACTTCTACGTTACACAAGCGATGCCACCGTTATGACACATCGACTGTCCGGAGGAACTTCTCGTACATAGTGGAATGGATGTTGCGCACGCGGGTAGCGTCGTTGAAGAACGGCGTCCGAATCTGCGATTGCGCCTGCGCGCCCGTCGACAGGCCCATCATCAGATTCGGTGATATTGCGGCATGACAGCAATAAAGAGGAAGCGACGCACCACAGCTAACGGCCGGGTCCGGTCGAGATGATGGACTAGCTTGCTCGTCATCTCCGTCAGCGCGGCGTTATGCCTGATGTTCGACCGGTCGGGCAGGACTTCCGGGAGGATGCTAATCAACTTGGGCACGCTACGCGCAAGCTGGTCGAGCTCGGCTGCCTCGTCGGCGCTGAGGTGCCCTTTCACGAGACGCTCGCGAAGCTGAGGAAGGCGGGTGACAGCGTGCGTGTAATCCATGAACGCCTACAAACGCGGAAGTAAGAGGACCGGATAAGTTCTAGTTCTAAGCAGTAGACGTAAGAGGTACTCACCCTTCCACGCTCGTTCCATCCATTCACGGAGTGTCCCTCGAAAGGCTCCAACATTTCTCTGAGAAGGATGAGATCCTGTCGGATGACGGCGTCCGGCGCGAGCTCCACAACGGCGATGTCGTGCGCAGTGTCGTATAGCCCAGCCTGGAGATAGAGCTCGTAGGCATCGTACATGCTCCCGCTGTCAAGTGCGTATATGGCCTGGGAACCCAAAGTATGCATCATTGAACATACAGATTGGAGTCAGCATGAATACCGTACCTTCGCTTCGTTGATCCACGTCATGGGTATCTTGAGGCTCCCCACGAGCCCACGGGTGACCCAGTCGTCGAGTTTTGAGGCAGATCGTGTGAGAAGCTCCTTGATGGCTTTCACCCGCCTATCGTGGGCCCGTCAACCATACAAGCAACCATACAGACGAATCCGGAAATACTTACCCAGCGGGGGCTTCGAGGTGCAGCAGCACGAATACAGCCTCCTGGACCATGCCCAACTGCTCCAGCTGCGACGCGTAGCTGTTAGCGAGAAGGTCCGCACTTGGGCTGTGGCCTTCGACCGCACCCTCCTCCTCATCTTCTTCGCGCCGCACAGACGTATCCCGGTCAGCCAGGTCCCGTATGCGCATACAACGGGAGAGGATGATGTATAGGTGCCACGGCAGACGGTAGTCCGCCGGGGACGCGCTGAACGAGAACGAGGAAAGGATGGAGGAGAGGTTGCACGCAGGATCCGCGAATAGCTTGATGAGCGCGTACAGAGCGTCAGTCGGCTGCGCATTCGAAGGCGCAGTCCATTTGGATGCGACTTGCTCTGCGAAGGGTCGCTCGGCGTACCAGGGGACTGGGGCGGCAACGCTGGAAAGGCCTTCCCGCCAAAGGCGGTCGTATTCCTGGAACACGTCCGCTATCGACGCATCCATCGGCATCCCAAACCACAGCTGTAAGCCAAATGCGCGCTTCCAATCCAGGCCCTTCGCCAAGTCAACATCCGGACACTGCTCCACCCCACTGCCGCCTGAGCCCTGCAGCGTATCAACCACCCCAGCAAGGAGGGCATATACCTTCCGGGTATCCTCGGAGATGTGCGCATCTGTGCGCTGCTCGCGCCAGATGTCGAGCTGGCTTTGAAGATCTGCGCGGAACGCCGCATCTCCCGGACATTGCGCAATGAGGGACGCAAGCTTGACGTTACCGTCATTAGCTGCCTTCTCGCACGCGCGCTCGATCTGGTACCCGCTCAGGAGGGTGAAGAGGGTACGGTCCCAGCGCGCGTCAAGGTCCTTGCGGAGGTCGGACTCCGTGGCGGACGAGACAGCGGTCTTGAGCCAATTCGATAGCTCAGTTTTACGGCGGATATCGGAAATTCGCTGGCGGGCGGAGGGGTCGGGTATCTGCTCAAGGCGGTAGTCACTGGTATCGAAGAGCGCGCGACCGAGCCGGAATAGAGTCGGTTCGAAGGATTGGTCGGTGGATGGGAACTGGGAGACAAAGGATGCGAAGGAAAGCTTCGGCGAAGGGTTGGCAAAGGGCACACCATCCTCATCTTCTTCGATCACAGTATGATGGAGGTGGTGCGATAGAAGGCGGGAGGCCTGCGCAGACGCGTCGGCCGCGGTGCCAGCAAGGAGTGGGACAGTGGTCATCTTGACGGTCGACACGTTCGCCGAAGATGTTCTGGACCATTTGTCAGATGGTGTATAACTGTTTGAAAATATGATACGTACGGCGTGCTCGAGGGGCCGCATAGTTCCCCGAGGTGTAGTAAGAGTCCTCCTGGACCCCACCCCACTCGGAAAGAACGACCCAGTGCCAGACCCGCGTCTACGTACGCGCCTTCGCGGCCAACAAACGCGGAGGCGGAGCTTTCTACCCGTGCATATTTTCGTGAGGGTCGATACACCTCTGGTTCAATGTCGTCCGCGAACGATGCTCGCTGGGTGAATATGCCAATTGAGGGCGCCTTCGCGAGTACAACAGTAGGCAATACACACCTGACGCGAATCAGCCCGCAAGCCCTCGCCTTCTGAATCCCTGCTGTGTTTCCTAGTCAAGGCTGACTTGAGCTGCAGCAATTTCCGACGCGGCTGTGGCTCATTTAGAGCTTTGAGGACCCTCTCTTCCTCAGGCATTCGAAACAATGAAGTCTGCATGACATGCATCTTTTGAGGGTCCACACCAATTTCTCTAGCCCATGGAATAATAGTAGGGTCGCCTTGTCGTGAGAGCTGAGCTCGTGTAGGCTGCGCACTCCTCCGCCCTCGTCGTCGAAGAACCTCTTCTTCGCTTTCATCTTCGGTCTCGTCTACGTCCTCCTCGGCTTCCTCAGTTCCGTCTTCCTCGTCTTCCTCAATATCCTCGTCATATGTAGCTTGTCGACGTGTCGCAGGACGCAACTCGTCCTCGTCCATGGAGTCGTCCTCTGGTTGGTCCTGAGGTGCTGCCACTGGGACTGGCTTCGGGGGCGGGACCTCCATCGAGACATTATCTTCTTCCTCCTCCTCGCTGTCGGTAACGTAGGCTCTGAAGCGCGCCATGGCAGAAGTGGAGTCCGAGAGCTGGGTGTGGCAGACGTCGAGTAGAGAGACCTGAGGACAAGGTGCGCGTGGTTCGGCGCCACAACAATTGCAGGCGCCCACGCGCGCATGTCCGTGTCCGACCGCGCGAGCCGCCCTTGTCCTCGCATTTCTCCTCGGTAGTATCCTTGACGCCGCTCTCCTCGACGTAGTGTTGCCGCCAAGCCGGGCCGGCTTATCCAGCTAGCTCAGCTTGCCAACTAGACGCCCAGCTTGTTGCAAGAAGCTAAGCTAAGCCGAAACGCCTGGAAACGAGCTGATCGTCAGCTCGTTTTCAAGCCAGCTCGCGGGCTAGCTCCATTGATGATGTCATAGCTACCAAAGTTGGTATCTCGTAGGACCGGGAGGTCCCGGGACAGCCGTGACTTCAGTTACTTCGAGCCTATGCTTGGCTGCCATGGCATGGCCTGGTAATTCCTGGATGGATGTGTTGACTCCTCACGAGTCATGCCTTGAGCACAGCGGTAATCCTCATAATATCAAAGGCAGCAGTCACCCTCAGCACAAAACAGCCCGGGAATGTGCGCTACAATGCTGCTGGCGAGCAAGATTATAGACTCTCGTGTATCCTGCTTTCTGTCTTAACGG